ACCCGGGGCCCGGCCACGCGAGTGCGTCTGCCGCTGTGCTGCGCTCGCCGCTTGGGCTCCGCGCTCCCCGGCTGCGCAGCACTTGGCGCCGGCGGCCAGAGAACTGCAAGCGGCGGAGCTGCTGGAGGGAGCCGAGCCCAAGCTTTGCCGGCACTTTCCGCAGCCTCATCTGCGACTGTTTTCATTTTGTTTTAACCCAGAAGAGGCGTCTCACCAGCACGGTGTTGGATAACTGCGCTTTTCTGACCGCTTGTTTTCTTTTCTGGGTGGTTATATTTTTTTCCTTTTCCTCCCCTTCCCTTTGCTTCCTTTCCCCCTTTATTTCTCTTCGATTCTTTCCTTTCTCTTTTTTTCCTTCTTTCCTTTTCTCCTTCCTTACTTAATTTTCTTCTCTCTCCCCTTCTTCCTTCCTTTCCCTTATGTCCCACATTTCTTTCCTTTCTCCCCGGCTTTCTTTTCTTTTTTCTACCTTCTTTCATTTCTTTTCTTCTACTTCTTACAACCTTGCATTCCCAGTCTTTTTTTCCTTCTTTCTCAGCTTTGCTCTTTCTTTCCTCACCTCGCAGTCTCTCCTGCTCTGTCTTCCCATTTCTCTCCCTGGAGTCTTCCTGCTATCTGGTTCTCCACTCGCCCTCTCTCTACTCCCTAGCCTTCAGTGTTTCTCACTCCGCCTGCAGAACAACTTTAATTCTCACGTTCCTTAAAAGCCCTCCTCGGCCCCTGTCACCTTGGCCTCCGCCAGTCTCTCTCTCACTTCTCAGAGTCTACACTGAGTGGCTTGGAGGCCATGCCCTCGGAGGCCAACTTGAGGAACTTTCCTGAGCACAACCAGAGTCCTGTCCAGGGTCTATTGGTCCCAAGTGAGAAATGGTACCCTATCCTTTTCATTCCTGGCCACCCGCTGGGCTTATGGGAATGGAAAACTTGGGAGCCCCAGGCCCCATTAGATTTAAAGGGTGCAGAAGGAGAAGGAAGAGTAATTCCATCATTCTAGTTTTAGGGTCAGGGGGACTAGGGTCAACGGTCCCTGTACTATTTCCATCCCCGCTGAGCATAGTGTTGGGAGTGGTTGGTAGTGAGAGTGAATTGGGTAACTAGGCTGGAAGCGAAAGTGTGTGTGTGTGTGTGTGTGTGTGTGTGTGTGTGTGTGTGTGTGTGTTGCCCGGTTTTGTCGGGTAGTTTGGGCTGTCAGTGCGGTGCCCCCGGGCACCCCCGATTTCTAGTCCCTGGCGGAGCTGCTCAGTCGGCAGCTCTGGCTCTTTGGGTTTCAGGAGTATGTGAGGATGAATTTCTCAGAAGGGCAAAACTTTATTAAGACAGGTCTTTTATTTAAAAACAAAACCAAACAACATCAACAAATACACACAGCAATAAAACAAAAGATCCCGGTTCCTTTTCCCATAGCGATCAATCATTTCTTATAGCCCCGAGCTCCAATATGGGACCCTTCTCCCCTTGCTTGTGTTTGCGTAGAAAATTGGCGTGCTGAGGCCGGACACCGGCAGCTAGCCGAGGCTGGGGAGGTTTCCTGGAGGGTGGCTGCTGCAGCAAGAAGCCTAGCGTGCCTGCATTCGTTTCCACCTGCCCACTCACTTGTGAGATTTGGAGGCGCAGTTGGAGCCCATTCCCACGCCTTATCCTTCGAAGTTGTAAACTGCGCACTTTCTGTCTAACCTCCTTTCACCTCACCCACGGCCACGTTTCCTCTGCACGCAGCGCGCTTCAAGTGGAGTAAAGAATGTAGCGTTTCATCTCGCGCCCAAAACCCAAACAAAACTTTCACACCTCTGGATTCTGAGGACCCGCTGTCTCTGAATCGGGAGCCCAGGAACATGACTGGCATGTGTGCGGTTCTTCTGCCGCGCTTGGGCTCCTGATGGGTCATGGAAGGCGCCCTGGGGATGTTTTGGGAGCAGAGGAGGTGGGTGTTGGGGGGTTTTGCTCGCGTGTTCTGGGTGACAATGGGAGTATGGGACACGGTTTGACTTAGCGATCTAACTCTGCATCTTTGGTCGCAGCGGGGTGGGTCTGGCCCGGGCTCACTTTGAGAAGCAGCCGCCTTCTAATCTGCGGAAATCCAACTTCTTCCACTTCGTCCTGGCCCTCTACGACAGACAGGGCCAGCCCGTGGAAATTGAGAGGACTGCCTTTGTGGGGTTCGTGGAGAAGGAAAAAGTAAGTGGGCGCAGCGCTGTCCCCAGTAGTCCCAGGCTCAGAGTGCAGGCCCAGGCGCCTTAAGAGCCGCCTCCACGCTTGCAAAGCTATCCTCACACTCCTGTGAGCGCCCCCGCCCCCGTCACTTCCCGTCCCGGACGAATTCAGGCTCCTGGGACACAAGGTCCTGCTCCAGAAAGTTAATATGGAGCCTCCAGAACTGAAGAGAGCCCAGGCAAAACGAACCCGACTTCAGTCTATCTATCCTTGGGAACCTGGGAAGTACAAGGTCTGAACTAACAGACCTTGCGTTGCTTGCCTAAAATGGCCCAGGCTGCAGTCCCAAGGTTCGAGGTAGAGTCTCTCATCCATGTGCAGTACACCTCACGGAATTTTCTGGAATGAGAGTAAGACACGCAGAGAGAGAGAGAGAGAGAGAGAGAGAGAGAGAGAGAGAGAGCGAGCAGTTTGAAATGAGGGTGGAGAAGGTATTAATTGTTGCCACAATTGCTGTTGCTATCTGGGCTGGCTGACTTCACAGGCTAGTGTATGTGTGTGGGGGGTCCCATTTGGGAAAAGTTGTCTCGAAGTTAATGCACTCGCTCATGGAGACTTCTTGTCCTCATCTCTTGTGTCTTTGGGCCTTGCTGCAAACCAGGAAGCCAACAGCGAAAAGACCAATAATGGGATCCACTACCGGCTCCAGCTCCTCTACAGCAATGGTGAGGCTCCTGTCGGGTCGGTGCCAGCACCCTGGGGCTCCGGGTCAGGGCAGGGGGCTCACGGAGCTCCAGGTGGACGAAAGCCCCCCAGCGAAGCTCAGTCGTCAGCCACCCTCCAGGTGAACCGGCCTCTCCGAAATTTCATCCTAGGAAGTTTCTCACCTGAGGAGGCGGAGGGCGGCTTGGTCAGCCTTTGACTGACTGGAGGCCACTTACCCCTAACTTGACCACTCGGTTGGCTTCTTTCTCCCCCTTCTTGAAGCCTGTTTTGCTCAGCCCAAATTCCAGGTCGCAGGGCTCCTCGGTTCTGGGGAGCTCGGAATGGTGGTGGTCCTGATGGGTCCAGGGGACTGCAGAGGGGCTCTAGCCTGGGGAGGGAGAGTGGCCAGGCTGGGGGAGTCCCACCTAATTTCTAGCTCCAGTGCTTGGAGGAGTCTGGCTGCCAGCGGGGAGGGGGCATTTG